CCCTCCAGCAGGTTCTCAGAGTCCGTTGACTGCATGGAAGGATAGTGTCCGTCCCTCTCCTGCAGAGCAGCTGGTGACCTCGAACAACATTCCTTCAGGATTGCAGCACAGCTTCTTACCTCTAGGCCACCAGAACGCCTGCCCTTGTTATACGCTACCATAACCCTAGATATCTGCGCTTATTCTATATGTATAAAACTTGGATCCCATGTAAACGTACAAGATTGTCTTTAGGCTGATTTGACTATCTTCTACAACATCCACTAAAATGAATGCCTGATAAGCGATGCATTTTTTTACTTATTGGAGGAACAACTGAGTATGAAGGACTGAATTTTTTCCTTAAAATAAAGGAATTTCTGTTTCCATATGCTGTTGTCAATGTGGACGAATGAAACACAGTGACACTGAGAATGACGGGGAGAAGGGAGTGAAGGCCGGGGGCAAACCTCTCGAACACTGCAGCCCCAGGCTTAGGGTCTCTCCTGCCTTTATTGAAAATTCCTGGGAGATAAATCACAGGGAAAAGTCTTTACTACTTGGCTATGATTTTCTCTGCTGACATCCTTATGCTTATCTCAGGAATGATGGGTTTACAAACACAAACTGAGAGTAGCAGAGGTGCCACAAGGTCTTCTCCAAGTGCCTGTCTCCTATGATCCGTCTCAGGAGAAATACCACCTAATTCTTTGTGATCTGTCACAAGAGGAATTCCAGCTTGAATCTGTGCCTCCTTCAGTTCCTGTTTAAGCGTTTTGTTTAACATTTGGCTTCCCACAATATGCTTCTGTGGACCCCGCGTACTCTCATACGTGTAAGGGACAGAAGAAAATACTTCCCTTCTGCAGTGGTTCCACGATCGTTGGATGTCACTCTGCTTTCAGTCTGTCCTTTATATTTTCTTCATTGTTATTAAAGATCTTTTCAAAAGAAGTTGAAATTGACTATTCCCAACAGACTTGTCTTCCAAATTAAACAATTCTCTATTTTGTGGTGTTTTTTTCCTGGGATACAGAATATGTGTACAAAGACTCACAATGAAACGATCAACAGGTTCACTGATTATATAGTAAATCTCTAAGTACAAGCCAGGATTTCCTCCATAAAGAAATGAAAGTCATAAGATCCAGCACAAGACTGATATCTGATGCTCTCAGTAGATCTTGAAAGAAAATAATCTTGTGTCTGTATTGATTTCTTAGTTTTCTACGTATGTGAGGCCCCTTTTTTGTTCTTGCCCACATTGTGAGACACGGTACCCATCTGATCCAGAATACGCTGTGTGTTTCAGGCCCCATTGCTGCTTGGCGATGCGGTCATCTTCTTCAGCCCGGAAGAGTGGGCCTTGTTGAGTGTTGCACAAAAGAAGCTCTACAGGGAGGTGATGATGGAAATCTTGGAAAACCTGGACTTCATAGGTAAAATTAAGATTTGATAGGCTTGCAAATCCTTGGAATGCATAGAAAATGAATTCATGCACATGACTTTTGAACTTTGGCAGAAGAATTGGAATACAAGGTTCAGTGAAGCAGACATGGCCACCTGGCTTTTACTGCTCAGGAAAATGACTTTTTCATGGAAGCCTTTGTATCTGAGAACACCTTTTCTGTGGTTCAGTAAATTTAGATCTGTCAGTAGCCTAAGTGTACACTCCTAATTTTTATGGGTCAGAATTTTTTTTAACTTTTTATTTTCATTATTATTGTGTGTGTCTGTACCATCAAGTCAGATCTGACTGGTACAGGAGGAGATTGCCCCTCCTTCTCCGGCAGAGCATCTGGTGGATTTGAACCACATATCTCTGGGATTGCCTTGTAGCTTCTTGCCACTAGGCCACCAGAGCTCCTATGGGTCAGAATTTAAGGCCTAGTCTATGGCCGTGGGGTCTAACCCTCACTTATTGCTCCTGTGTTGTTGTTCTTATTTTGTTGCTGTTGTTGTTTTGGTGTTTTTTCTAATCGGATCCGACTGGCACAGGAGGAGACTGCCCCTCCTTCTCCAGCGAAGCAACTGGTGGATTGGAACCCCATGCCTTTGGGTTTGCAACGTCTTGCCGCTGTTCCACCTGAGTTCTCGAGGGCTCCTGTGTTGAGAAGCTCTAGGAAATTGTTTATATGCTATGGATCTTTTGCATGTTGAGAAATAGGCATTTTCATGAACCATTTAGGGAAAAAAATGTCTTTTTTGCTGGATGTTACAGCTTAACAGATCACCAGACAGTTTTTTATGCATCAGCAGGCCAGTCCTGGAGCCATTTTTCTATTTTTCCTGTGATGTGTGTCTTGTGTCATGTTACGTGAATCCTCTGTGACATTGTGTGTGTTCTGTGCATTGTCATGTGTGCACGCTTCTGTGTGATGTTGTGTGTGCTGTGTGAGTCCTCTTTGTAATTATCCACCTAGAAGAATCTCATTCATATCATCATGTCTTTGATTTGTTTCAGAAGGGATTCATAGTGAACAGTTTGCCATCCCGTGTCGAAGTGTTGAAACTCAAAAATGTGCCCATGTGACTGTTGGTTCAGAGCAGCCAAATGTCTGTCACGTTCTTTTCTTTCTGTGTTGTCAAAATTATTGTTGTTGTATAACAGGCCTTAACCACGTGAATGACGGAGACGCATTATCCCCTGAATGTACTCAGCTGACATTCTTTGAGACGACCCACCCTTGGTCTTCCATGTTACGGAAAATGGTAAAACTGTGTGCCAAAGAAAATCTACATAAACTCAGAGAGAACTATTGGAGGTGAGTATCAGGAAAATGAAAAAAACAACAAATACCAAAACACAAAAAAAACACTCATGAGAAACATTGTGACTTTGGAAACAGGTATCAGAGAGTGTAATTAGATTTGTAAGTGCAGTTCTAGGAAGTATATTTTTGCTAAATGAAATCATATGAGACTCTTGAGAAGTTAAACTCACACATCATCATGTTTTATTGTGGGCCAACAAGAACACACTCACAGCTGTGTGATATTTATTTTTCCCAGAAGTCAAACAGTGCAGGAGGTGTGTGAAGGGATTGAAGACACTCAGCCTGGGAAAATGCGCATCCGATTTCCAAGTTATTCCTGCAACCGTGTCGACATAAACCTGTTGAGGAGTGACCTTGGTGACACCGGCCATGAATGTAAGAAATGTGGCAAAGATTTCTGTACCTTCTCTTCATTTTGGATCCATGTGGTAGATGAACATGAACCTTCAGAATGTAGGATTCCTGTAGGAATCCTTTCCCTTTTGTTTCCAAAGAAGCATTTAATTTTCTAGAAAAGCTTGATGAGAGTATTGAAAAGGGGAAACCCTTTTATTATTCTGTTCCACTTCCTGCTACTTCAGACAGCACAGTAAAGAGAAACATTGACAGTGCAGAGAAGCCGTATCATTGTAAGGTATGTGGAAAATCTTTGCGTTCTTTGTCATGTCTGAGGAGACATGCGAGAACACATACAGATGGGAAACCTTGTGAGTGTCACCAGTGTGGGAAAACCTTTCCTCAGCTTGCTCTTTTAACTCTCCATGCCAAAATGCACTCAGCAGAGAGACCTTTTCAGTGTATGGAAGGTGAGCAGACCTTTTCATGGTTGGATCACCTCCTTAAACAAAGAGGAACTCACACAAGACAATATGAACATCAGGAATGTGAGGAAGCCTTTTCAAAATCCACGCACCTCATTAGACATAGAAGAATTCACGGAAGACAGAGGCCTTATAAATGCAAGGAATGTTTAAAGACCTTTTGTCATTTTTCTCATCTTAGAGGACATACAAGAACACACACAGGAGAGAAGCATGAGTGTAAAGAATGTAGGAAACCATTCCCACGGTTAGCCGATCTCAAGGAACACAGAAAAATTCACACAGGAAAGAGACCTTATCAAGGTACAGACTATGGGAAAACATTTTCTGAATCAGGTAACCTCACTTCACACAGAGCAGTTCACACAAGGGAGAGACCTTATGAATGTCAGGACTGTGGGAAAGCCTTTTTACGTTCAGGTGCCCTCACTGAACATAGAAGAATCCACACAGGAGAGAGACCTTACGAGTGTCAGGACTGTGGGAAAACATTTTCACGATCAAGTAACCTCACTGTACATCGAAGAAGTCATACTGGAGAGAGACCTTATGAGTGTCAGGAGTGTGGGAAACCATTTTCTTGAACATGTGCCCTCACTGTACATAGAAGAGTCCACACAGGACACAGGAGAGAGACCTTACCAATGTCAGGAATGTGGGAAAACATTTTCACGATCAGCTACCCTCACTGTACATAG